CCCCCCCCCCCCCAGCTACACCACTTTCAGGAGACCCAGCGGCTGACCCCATCCGCTGTCGATATGTTTCCCATTCGCCAATCTCGTCACATCGCCATCACACCGTTCGAAAATGGGTTGTTTCCACGCTTGATACCGATGGCCCTCTCTCGAACAGAACATTCTTGTGGAATTCGCCCGACTTGAAACGCACAATCTGACCTGAAGCCTGGGGCCAGAAATGGACGCTTCTAGCCCTGACGACTACCTCCCTCGACCGTTCCACACCGGCTGCACTACGAGCTTAGTTCCAAGTTTCTTAGTTCGACGGCACGGGTCTACTACACAGTTTGTGGTCCCCTCATATCGCCTGGTCATGTGGTCTACTAAGTGCAGAAAACCCTGCATCTGCTTTGCAATAACTTGCATATGCCTTCTCGCTTGTGGCCTGGATTATGGGTCTCGACCAAGTATTGAGAAAATTGGGAAGATGTGAGGATTCGAGATCAAAAGAATTGAGGCGTCCATCCTCATGTTTTTCAGTGATGTCTACCCCTGGGAATTGCTAATCCCCCGTAGTGATCTCCTAGGGCAACTATCCGTCAGGTGTACAAAATCGACCCTGAACATACGGTTCATGGACCTGGTGAGTAGCAGTGTGTGAAAGACCAGCTCATCCCATTTGATGTCTTGTTTCCACAGTCTAGTAGCCGGAGAACAAAAGAGTCAAAACTAACTGTTCATCACGACCATCGTTTCTTCCCCACTATTGTCGGTCAAACGACAATAGCCGGTAGGTGTTCCTTGCCTCCTCCCTATGGCACCGAAAACCGTTAACCATTTATATGCCGTAAGAAAACAAAAGAAAAAAAATATAGGATATAGTGCAGAGTGAAAGCCCCAGACGGGAGAAACCAGAAAGCAGGAGAAAAAAAGAACCGAAGAACCACTGATGCTATATTGTATGCGGAATCGTTGCTGTCAAAGGCGGCAGCCAGCCCCATGCAACAATGAATGACGGCTCCCTTGCCCCGCCCTCACTTCAGATTCGCAGTGGTAACGACCCTTGGCAATGCTCACACTTGTCTCCCTTGACGATGAATCGTTCATGAGGCGCTCTGGGGCAGGCGCCTTGTGGGCTACCGTCCAGCTCAATCTTGTAGAAGTGGAGACCGGGGTCGGTGCATGACGCGTAGATGTAGTAGTTTTTGAAGAAGTTGCACATGTTGATTGGAAGACAGTTATATGGCTTGTGGGTGATATGATGTGCAGCGTGAATGAGCCAAGAAATCTCCAGCAACCCATTCGGGATGCAGAGGATATGGGACTAATAGTTTGGTTAGTAAATCCGGACAACAATGAGAGTGGATGAAGGCGTACTGTACTGTTAAGCTTGATGACGATCAAGGGATAATCCAACGGTTGCCTGACTGGAAGGGTCTCGCGCACAAGGGAAAAAAAAAGACTTCTGGTAGATGCGAATTCACTTGTGTGTAATGAGGCAAACCGACTTCAAGAGATGCGAGATAGACTTGATCATGTTTGATATCATTTATTGTCGTGAGACTTGTCGATTTATATCTCTGGATTGCAAGGTGTACATGCTGAAAAGTGACCCCGAGAAGTGCGCTTTGACCTTCCTTGAAAATGATATCCAGTCCTTGTTGCATAAGCTAGCATCGGTATCAAAACCAGCTAAGACCCGAACACGAACGGTGTTTTCATATGATCGAGTAACCACACAAGAAACGATAGGAAAAAGGAACACAGAAAAGAGCAGGAAGACAAGAAGGAGAGAAGGAAAAAAACGCCAGCGTACAGAAGAATCATGTGCAGGTAACGGTACACTAGAAGCAGGGTCTCCGTAACATCCTTTGATTAAGGTGCTTGGTTTCGCTCCGCAAGGAACCAAACTACGCAGTGTGAAACCTTGACTGGTACATTATCCTGGTTTATACCACTCGAAACCAATACATATCGTGCATCAACAAATCGTTCGTTAACACCCCTCATAGTATGGAAGACGAAAGGTCAGAAGAGAGAGAGTGTGTTAGCATTACGAGTAGTCAACATGGTAGTGCAGTGGTTGAAACTGCTTATTCAAATAGTCAAGAGACGAACCCATACATACCCCATGGATACGGTCAGTTCGGTGTTTCAGAATCTCGGTATATAAACCACCGAACGAGAAGGTAGGTCTGACCTAATCCCCACTCTCAGGAACGAACTACGCAGCCGCATACAAAAGTAGAGATGTAAACCAAATGGATAATTTTTGTTTCAACTTCCGAGACGAAAAACGTGGGCATAATGCAGAGTTAATCTCTGCTTTGGTGGCTTGCAAAGCTTAGTGCGGCATTCATTCAGCGCTCAAGGGTGAACATGCGTTAGGCGTACAAGCCCCCCACATTCCGCCTGGCCCCGTTGGCATTTCAATGTGCGGATAAGGATGGGAATATGTTCGTATAGGATGAGAAGTGACTTTGGCCATCCGGTGTGTAGTAGGGTGTGAGGTTTGAGGAATCAAGCCTGGTGAGGGAAGCAAATGAACAGAAGGTGAGCATTTCCAAACAACTCCTACGCCCGTTTCAGTAGGAAAGAAGATTATTGAGGCCACAGTTGATGACTAGGGGGGAGCAAGGTAACATTGATCAGGGTATGTAGCGCCCAAAAGAACCATGAGTCCAGCCCTAGACAGGAGGCTAGTCCGCACTTGGCGGCGCTGTTACGAACTAAAAACAAATGATCTCTCGGCGGAATGGCACCGAGCTGTCTTACGTGGCCAGAATGGATAAAAAGAAGACCTGCTCACGCCCCGCCATTTCTCACATAAGTGGTATCTTCTGAGCAACCTTACCCGAAACTTGTAGACTTCTTGGTCCACGGTTGTGTGTGATCGTACAAAAGGCATGGTAGTGATGGCCCCTTGTTAATATCGATGCCGCGGACCCAAGCGTCAAAGCACCCATAGCTTTGCGGCTCTTATTTCATGCAATCCAATAAAGACGTGAGTTCCGGCTTTGGTTCGCAATTGAATTGTTTTCAAAATGCGTCCAAGCCGGGAGGAGGTGAACCCGTTGTTGAGCGGCCCACGATCTGGCTTCCCCAGAGGCGAAAGATGCGAGTTGATACTGATCACGGCCGAGCTTGAGTCTCCAGCATAATGGATAAGGCGCATCAATCAACCGAATAGAGTCCAATACAACAGACCGTGGGGCTTGTGACGCATATGATGGAGGAGTTGTGGTCTAGGATGCAGAAAAGCGCTTTTGGGTTACTGTACCATGGTACAAAGGTATGGCGGCAACCTTGATCTCATATCTCCAGGACGGGTACTGCGTAGGACTGCCCTGTAGCGCAGTCTCAAATTCTGCCGGCTCGTGACTGTGGACTCATCGGTTTGACTTGTCGTGCGCGGGGAGATTTGGTATCGTTTGGTTGGGTGGTGCATGACGCGCCAAATTGCCTAGAGGTGACCTGTTGTTATTCCGTTTAGCAGACGGCCAGATCTCTGTCGTCGTACTTGCAGAAGTGCCTCGGTAGATTGGGGGTGGAAGTTGATGATACTTACTATTGGAGGTGAATAGCGTATTCTGAATGGGCCCCCTAACCTGATTGGGAACGGAACCTGATGGCAGTGTTACTAGATACGCGCAGACCGTCACTGTCATACTATGTGATGCTCGATACTGCCAACGCTTTCTGAATTCAAGCTGAGCCTTACCAGTTACCGTATCTGTTTTTTTAACCAGGCTCAGTGAAACATCCGTTGATTCGTTCCTGACTCGAATCAGTCCACATACACACGCTGATACCCGCGGTAGTACTAGGGTTTCCCACTCAACTTTTCTCTGGGGCCCCACTTCGCAAGCGTGCCTTCCATCCCCTGAAATGCCGAAACGACGTGCTCCAAGGAACGTCTACCAGGAATATTCCCCCTAACCCACTTCCTTCCAGGCTGTCAACTCCCCTGCTGTTGATCCTGCCCCAAAAATGGTCTGACCTATCCTGCCGCGATCCGAGATGTTCCTTCAATCTTGTCTCCTGTATGAGATGTCTGAATGGTCGGATGGTAATTACGAGTCTGGTCTAGTACTTATGAAATAAACCCGAACAGAGATACTGCCGAAGGTGGGATTGTCCAAAGATTCTTTGTTTCGGACAGTCGCCGCAGGCCCAAAGCAGGAACAAAACCCAGGCAACACTAGGTAGCTCTGCTAAGTCCAGCAGAGACCTTTGTCCAAAAGTTTCAGCCGGAGCTACCTTAACCAGACCAACATCGAGATGGGGTTCCAAGGATCTGATGGTCACTAACACTGCTGGGTACCTTGGGAATAGGCCAAAGCGGGCTTTCCCAGCCCCATTATAAAAGAGAACGGGTTTACCCTTCAACACATTGAGTGGATTCAGGGAAAGCGGCATATCCATGATGACAGTGTGGTACCTTGATACACCCCAGTCATGCATCATTTTTGGGCAAGCCACGCCCGGGACGGGGACACTCATGAGCCGAGGTGAGGTTGAAACCCCAGAGGGCCGAATGATCGAGTAACTAACGTAGGGCTCGACCGAGAATGAGTGGAAAGCGATCAGCTCTTCCGTGTCCTGGTCAACTAGGGGATGTACCATCGTCCATTCTCTTATGAATGAGAGCATGCCCCTTCCCCCAAACCCTACGGCACCCGCTCCATCAATCTTCTCGTAGTCACCAAGGGCTCATTGTCGGTTATTACTCCGTTGAACCATCTGATCGTCTCCAAGCTTGGCAGCAGAAACCGAAGAGACGGTCCGTTCTCGCAAGTTGCCAGGGCTCTCCCATCATGATACAAGACCGACGTGTTGGCGACACTAATTCTCTTGACTTTGGTTTTCGATGCAGGCAAACGCGAGAGAACTACCATGGCTACCGTCCCGATAGTTCCTTCGTATGAACATGTAGTTGGAGGAAGGCATTTTTGAATGGGCGCGAGGTTGTCAGTGAGGTAGGGATGTTTGGATGGAGAAGGTGTTTCGAGAGGCGGGTTGAGTCGAGCATAGCCACGAGCCGTATGGCGGGTGAGAGTTGAACTGGGCGTAAAGTAGTGCTTTGCCTCCCCGTCGCAAGATGAAAACAGACGAGGGTGTGAAAATTGCCATTGCTGACAGTTTTCTGTTCGGTGTCTGATAATCCTGAGATGATGTCAGGAAGTCAGATGATAGGGGAGGGCAGGCACATGCAAGGAAGTACCTCCACTTCTTGTTCTCCCGAACATGTCACGGTTGTCAAGCGACAAAGCTGATGAACTCGAGCGACAACATAGCAGCCCAGCTCGATGCCGCGAGTACAGTAGGTAGCGATGGGTTCCGTCCTTTAGCGAGGATATCCTTTTGTGGAAAGAAGAATATCCGAGACTTGCCAGAAAACATCCATGTTCGCGCCCGTGATTCTTCCAAAAATGCAGTCGCGCCGGAGCTGCATCGCGCAGCCTATGACTGAAGGTTGGAGGTGAGAACAACGGTCGCAGGAGATGCGCCATACTCCAGAAAGAGCTTCGACTTTGGAAATTTTCGATCGCGCCTGCCTTCCAGTCTTGTGGGTGGCTCAATCCGATTCATTTCAAGTTCCACTCGTTTCTTGCCCTTTCCAAAAAACGCTCATCAGACAGAGGTCAATCAGCGAGCGGGTCGGTGCAACCTACCTAGCGAACTGAACCTCGATCAACTTCACTCTGCCCTGATTGAACTCCATGCCTCCTCTGACCTTCTTGTAACTTTGCAAAAGTCTCGGAACCCTCTACGTACTCATAAAAACCGCAAGACACCTTGGCAGATACTCTAGATGTTATCATTGTGATCACCACGGCATCCCTTTGTATATCGCCGGCGACGCTCGCCGCCTGTAGTTGACCGGACGGGAATAACTTCAGTTTGAGACAACCAATTTCAGTCGGAAAGATAAGGAACAAGCACACCGTCTTTTTCCGTCCGTCCTCCGAAACATTGCGGCGGCTGAATTTCCGCCATAAGGCCGTTCAAGACATCTTCCACCGCCTGGCGATACAGGGTTCCGTGACGTCGCATCATTTGCTGAGAGACCTGAAGACGAGCGACGTTGGTCGCCTTGCCGGAGGAATTTCGGTGGCGTGTATTTTTCAGTCAATGTAGCTGAAAAAATTAGTCCGCATACCCACTGGGTCTAGCTTGTCAAAAGCGTCCTGTCCGGACTATTGTTCACATCGCAGTAAGACCCTTGAATTTGACGAATCCACTTGGGCGTGCTCGCGGAAGCGTCAAATGTTCCAAATGCGGCTCCTCTTCTTTCATCTCATTGGCGTCTGCTGCCATAGCGTCACCGCTACCACAACAAGCGCCGGATTGGCCAAACTCGGCCGTTTGTCGTTTGTCTTATTTTTTCTTTCTTTGGACACACCGAGAATTTGGACCTCAACGGCCCAGCCCGCTTCTGCTTCGGTTTGTCAACGCCACTTTGCACCTGCCCAGTCTTCGGCCAAGGGGCCTCACTCAGGCCTTTCTCTTTCCCTGTAAGAGATGCAGATTTCGCAGCTGGAGAGCGGAACGGTCGTCGGTCAATTGGCAATCGGTTGCTAAATAACGTCAACACCTCCATCCGTTTTGCGTTTGTAATGGGAGATGTTGAGAAAACCACGGACGGCCCTGAAGAGCTTGATCAGTGATCAAGCAGAACAGTCAAGCATCGAAGATATGCCTTGTCTAATTTCTCCTTCCCGTTTGAGGCGACACCCGGTGGATCCAAGTTGTTGCTCGACTGGCGGGACGCATGGTCCCTGTTGACATCTTTATTCTTTCGGAATGTGCTCCGGTATCTCCGATATCAGTACATATGCACCGGTGTTGCAAGCTGATTGTTAGTAGGTTCGCTACGCCTGCCATATGAAGCTATTGCCAATATCAGCTAACCGATTTTAGTCAAATATTCTCAGCCCCAGGAGCAGGAACACCATGTCAAGATGCAGTCCGCAGATTCTAGACCAGGAACCGTTACCCAACAAAGCTTGACGCGCCATTATCCCACCTCTTTGAGTTTTCTTTGAAGAAGAAGGTCACCCTCGCGATGGTGAAGTGCCGAGGAGCCTCTCCGTTTATAAGCACAGTCCTTACCTATCGAATTATCCCCTCTTTCTTCGGTCAGATTTTAGGGCCATGGTATCAAAGATGAATTACTCATTTTCCGTTCGTTTAGTAACAGCGCTGGCGCTGCTGCCCTTTGCGCAAGCAGCGAAGGAGGTCTTTGCTCACTTTATTGTAAGTCCACTCCCACCTGTTGGCAAACAAGAAACACTCAGCTTACACATGCTTAAGGTGGGAAATGCTCGTTATTATGACCTGCCCGACTGGCAGGATGACATTCGTCTTGCACAGAAGGCTTCCATCGATGGCTTCGTTCTTAATATTGCTTCGCAAGACGAAAGCAACGCCAACTCCCTGGCCAATGCCTTCCGAGCTGCCAATGCTGTCAACTTCAAGCTGTTCTTCTCTTTTGACTATAACGCACAAGCTCCTTGGTCCAAAGATGCCGTAACCGCCCTGATCAATCGCTGGGCGGATGAGCGCTCGTATTTCAAGCCTGACAACACCTACCGACCTTTAGTTTCCACCTTCGAGGGACCTGATTATGCGGAAGACTGGCGCGATATCAAGGATAAGACCAACTGTCTTTTTATCCCAGACTGGTCTTCCCTCGGCGCTGCAAACGCAGCCACAAAGGCGGGTGGTGTTGTGGATGGACTATTCAGCTACGCTGCTTGGCCAAAGGGGCCTTCTGCCATGACCACAGAAATGGATGAGCAGTATCGGACCGCGTTAAAGGGTCGTCCTTACATCATGCCGGTCGCCGGGTGGTTCTACACCAACCTGCCCAGCTGGAACAAGAATTGGCTCTGGAAGGGAGATGAGCTTTGGGACACGCGCTGGCAGCAGATAATCGAATTCCAGCCCGAATTCGTGGAGATTCTTACCTGGAACGACTACGGCGAATCGCACTATATCGGCCCAGTCCGCGAGAAATCGCTTGGGCTGTTTCGGAGTGCAAATGCACCGCTCAACTATGCCGAAAACATGCCGCATGACGGGTGGAGGAGATTGTTGCCCTATTATATTCAGCAGTACAAGCAAGGCAGCAAGGGCCTGTCGACCAAGCGGATCCCTACCACCGTTGTCAAAACTCTGACCACTATTGTCACCGCGCCAGCTCCATCGCCGACGTCAACTGTCTTCAGAGCCGCGGAGCAGGTGGCACAGCAAGACTTCGCTGTGCCAGAAGAGGCGGTTGTAGCCTATTATCGTATTAACCCAGCAAATGCTTGTAACAACGGCAACACGACTGGCAATGACCCGAAATATCAGGAGGTGTACGCACCAGATGAGCTCCTGCAGGATAACATCTTCTTCACCGCCTTGTTGGCAGAGCCAGCCGATATCAGCGTTTCGATCGGCGGGAAGGACCAGAAGGCCACCTTCTCGAAGACGCCGCAGAACGGCAGAGCAGGAATTTACTCGGGCAAGGTGTTGTTCACCAACAGCATGGGGGATGTGGTGGTGTCGGTGTCGAGAACCCTGGAAGACGGGACAACGCAGCTAATCGCGCAGGCGAAGGGAGGACCAGCTATCACGACGGAATGTGTGGGCGGAATGGTGAATTGGAACACAGCTGTTATCAGCTCCTGATAGAAGAGCTTAATTGTTATTATCTTTGTAATTACCATAGACGAACTGATGACTGATGGCGTTGATGATTAAAGTTATAAACATCAATGTGAATGAATGTCTGATGAAGTCGCCCCCCGAGTCTTCGGCTTTTTTTCGTTGTGTGACGGTGAAGAGATGAAATCGACAACCGGCCATTGTCATCAAGGTGGAGGGCTGCCAAAGGGCTTTCTTTATCACCATGCTATTGTTTGTGCCTTCATTGTCTGATACTGGCAGTTGTCAGGTTGCTGTTGGCCTTGACGCCTGAAGAAACATGATCGGTTGTCGTCGCTTCAGTGAGTGGATATGGCGATCATGGCGGAGTTGGAGTGTTGGGGTTTTGACGATCATTCTTCCTTGTCCCGCAGACCTTGATGTCATGAAACGTGAGGAAGAGAAGTGATTGGCCGATACTTGAATTCCAGCCAATCAAGGTCCATCCCGATGAGCTCCCCGCACCCTTTCCTGTCCTTGTCCATGCGAGAATGGAGTTCAAGCGGCCCGACTTCAGCATAGTGTATGCACAGGTAGAGTAGAGTCACATGGAGCGGGAGGAGCATCGTAGATGAAAGGACCCTAGATTTGCAATCCAGAAGCAGTCCCTTTTCGGATGAACAAGGTCCAAGGGCACGGACTCTATCAAAATCGATCTCTGGGAATATCTTCTTTACCTGAGATGACCGTCAAGTCATTGAACATCAATATTTCGTTGTCACTAGCCACAAAAAGACCTCGTATCAAACCTGATGTACACTCTTTTCTCCTCACCTTTATGACGTCTGATTTTACCTCTAAGCTGATCAACAACTCTTGACCCTATAGCATGCTAAGGTTTGTTCAACATGGCATACAAAAGACTTAGAAACGTTGGGCTTGGTGGAGTGCGAGAGATAGGCTGGTGTCGCATACAATTGACGCGGTCATTAATAGGTAAGATACCTCGACAGAGCAGGATGATCACAAGCCTGTTTTTCAGATTACAAGGTGCCTAGATATATTGGGCACACGATACAAGTTAAGAATAGAAGGATCACGTAGAGTGCTTGTTTGGAAAACCGATTAGACATTCATGAATCAATTTATTCCAACGCTAATCTAGTTCAAGTTGATCTTCTCTTTCGTCAAGTGCATAGCCCAAGCCAACAACGATCACCAAGAGAGATGACGAGAGACCTGCTCTACGCCCAAGCCTACCGAGGCAAACTACCCTATGCGAAAGCTGAGAACAGAAAGCAGAATAGACCCGTTCCAAAATAACACAGCTGCCTCACTTGACACAGCGAAATTCAGCACCATCTAACCGCTCAAACTTCATCAAAAGTCAGGCTCCGAATCAGTCTCTCCATCCTCCTCATCCGGGCTCTCAGATATGGCTCTCAGTCCCCTTCCACTGCCTCTCGTTTTGCCCGGCCGATGATACGTGGCATCTTCAATCGCTTCCCACCTACCTGTAGTTGCGCTCATCTCGGCCAGATAAAACGGACCATGGACTTTGATAGGAAAATTTCTAACCATAGGCGTCAAGCATTTCTCATAGGTACCATGCATGATTAAAGGCGGCGCACTAGCCGTTTGCAAGGCTTTTTCCTTGACTTCATGCATGAAATTCTGGACGCGTGGGTCGTTCGATTCATTCAGCCCCGTCATCAACATACACCCAGTCAACGAAGGGGTAAGCTTCTTCTCGAGCGCCTCAGCGCGGCGAATGAAATTGCTGAGATCGGGCGGGGGGCAGGATGGTTCGCGGATTTTCCGGCCTTTTTGGTCCTTGAATTGCTTCAGCTCGTGACAGAAGTCGTAGTAGAGCGAGAGGATGGCGGTCATGGGCGCGTCTCCCGGGATGGTACCACCTCGTTGGAGATCATCGGGGTAAGGGACCGCGCCGTCTTTCGGTGGCCGCTGGTGCTCGGGCAGGTTGATGCAGATCATCAAACGTGCCCATTCCATGACTTGGTCGATGTCTCTGGTGGCCATATGGTTGGGGTTGAAGCCGAAGTCCCAACCGGCATAACCAAAATCACCGACGTAGAAGTCTGGGATGTCGCTGAGCTCTCCGTCGCCGGAAGGAGCGAAGTGCATCCATATATTACCGGGGTGTAGATCTTTGTGGAAGATTGGTTTCTTATAGACGGTGTAGAGGTGTTGCAGAGAGCTGAAAACCTGGTGGAGCATGCGGGCGATGAGTCTTGCTGGGAACCGCTTGTCTGGGTTGAACTTGGTGTGCTTGATGGAGTTATACTTGGTCATAATCAAGTCCTTGACTGAACCGCCGTTGATGAGCTGCCAGTAGGATACCAGATGGAAAAGCCCATTCTTGGACTGGATCTTTTCGTATCCGTAGAATTTCGGAATCAGGGGTCGGATATCGGGCGAACGAGGTGGCTTACTCAGGTATTCTTCCATGAGGTGGAACTCATTAGGTTCGATGCATTTGCTTCGATCGAGACGGTTCTTGCTCACCTTTCGGATGAGAAGCTCACCTGTGCTGACTTTCTGGACGACTTGTGCTTGAGCTTCGGCGCCATGACCGGCCGTTCTGCAGAAGACATAGTCAGATCCCCTGAACTTGAAGAGATACGCTCGTGTGTTGGAGTCGGACATGGTCGTTGAGAGGAGGCAACTGACTTTCGGTGTATGTTTTCGCTGTTGGTTAGTCTGCTGAGATGCTTATTCCCTGTCTCTCATAAGACGAGACATCGGGATGTTTATAAACCGTACAGTCTCGCCGTCCACAAAGCAACGGTCGAATAACCATGTTATCTTGACACTCTGTCGATGGGTAAGTTTAGTGCTCATCTTCAATGGAATTGTTCGCTGAACTCAAAGAGTATATGAGGCAGAATAACGCCACCAAACCTCCTTTGTTCAAAATATACGGCAGACAATGTGACTGTGGGGGACTTTGCTTTGTTCTCGTCATAGTGCCGTCTTTGGTCGTTAGTACAAGGGAGCATTGTGCTCGAAATTCAGTCCTGGACCATTCGCCAGAAACATTTTCTTAAGTTTGATAAGTCGGTTTGACTTTCAGGGGTAGTGGTGAGCTATTTGAGTATTAGTCTGGGGGTTGAGTTTGCGAGTGGAATGTTTAGGCTTCATATTACCGAATGATATTCGTGCGCCTTGCTGCCCTTCCAACGACAAGACGAAAAAAAGGAGGGGTTCTGTTTTTTTAAGCGAACAAAGTACATTGAAACGGACTACGTTACCAGTAAGGCTCGTCTGGTCAGATCATGCTACCCGAAGCCACTTGAATTGGCTTCAGTTCAACGAGTGATCAATTTGGTGAAGAGGACTTTGCCATATTTCCACTTCTAGAGGTACGTTCTGGATAACGACACCTCCGATGTCGCAGCATGAATCGTTTCGCAGACTCATTTTCCCGTGAGTAAAAGAACGAATGTAGAAACGTTTCATTGAAAGAATCCAAATTCCCGCTTTTTAGTTCGTAGGGGAGTTCGTAACAACTTCCTTTCTTCGTGTGACGATGGTGACGATGAATACCTGGTGGGAGATGTATTCGAGTGCCAAGAGACTGTTTGTTTGAGCGTTGGTGTTGAGGTGCGAAAGACGGAGCTGCAAGTCCGAACCCTGGACGTTCATTCCGTAATCAACCAATAAGATGGTGTGTTCTCTTAGTGCTCATCAGGAACAGCGTTTGATTGGTCAACAGAAGTGCAAGTGTGGATCTACGTTTCTCTTCGATTCCTACCTAGACGAGTGTCAGAACTTCGACTTCTTTCCCTCCTCTCCTCACACTCAATCTTCCTTGAGAGTCGAAACCACAAGTCAACAAGCCGCCACCCGAGCGAAGCCTTGAAAGAACGTGGGCATGTATCGACAACCATTCACCACTTCAATTTACTTGGAGCTGCCTGGTCCCGACAATCAGTCTCCCCTCCCCTGGCCTCTGTCGCATTATCGCTGCAGCTAAATTTCGTCGACTTGGGGTCGGTTGCTCATCGGCCGTCATACCGATTCGAACAATATTCAGCTTTCCTCTATACGTGATCAACATCTATTCAATCATCTCCCAGCAATGAAAAAACTCTTACTCAAGTAGCTCGAGGCCTCAGCGTTGATCCTCAACCCGTCCCCGTTACAAAAGCGCCAACGCTCAACCTCTTCCGAGATATTCTCGCGCGCGCCGACAACACCAACACCAACACGGTGAGCGCCTCCTTCAGCTTTCTGCTGGTTGGGGCGGTATGACAAGACCGGCGTTCGACTTTATGTATTGGAATTGGGATACCATTGTTCACTTGAAAGTCTCAAATACCACACAATGAAGTAATTGAGCCCAGCGTATAGTTGCCCTTATTCGTCGACCAAGCATCCCATGGCCATGCTGTTTCGAGATACTAACCCAACCTACTACCACAATCCCCTTAGCCTGAAGGCAATTGTTTGTTTCCAAAAGACACTAACAGTGTTCGAATATGAACAAAGAAAGAGAATGTGACAACACAGGTCCCAGACCCAGTCCCAGACCCGGCCGAGACACAGGAGGTGCTCCAAGCCAGGCTAAGCAGGCAGGAAAACCTCGACTCCTCAGTAGCCACCAGTGGCCCCGTCCAGTCGGATTCGATCACCAAACGAGATCCATTCAACTGATTTAATCGCTGGGAGTGCAAACCGACTCGCCATCAGCGCTCACGCACTTCATGCCTGAGCAGCAGTCTGACGTGACTCGGCATGTGGTGAGAATGGCACGGCATGGCTAGTTTACGAAAGGCTTGTGTCAGCTCAAGCTCGTTATTTATCTCTTTGGGGTCATTACAAGACAACCTACCTCTGGGGCGTAGCGGTAGTCCAGATTGGCCTCACGCTTAAAGAGGGACCGCGGCTGCAGTTTAGCACCGCTGGGACTGAGACGGTGACCGGGGAGTACCATGCCGGAGACCAGGCCGAGGAAGGAGACAAGGACAATGGAAGCCTTCATTTTTGCTTGTTTTATTTTCTGGGCTTTGGAGATGACGCTAAGCTGTTTGGAGAAATGCCGAAAGAAAGAGCCGTCGGGGTAAAGATGTCGAACCAGCGACAAAAGGTAAAGCGGTTAGAAGTGAAGGCGAAGGCAGCAGAAGATCCGAAGCACAGCTTCACCTATCTTTGGCTGAGGGGACCTCTTCCCGTCTCTTTCTGCTTGCGAACAATGAACTACCAGAAAAGGGGTGGTTGTAAGAATGCTATGCCAAAACTAGCAAACTGCAAGCAAAACTAGGTTTCAAGAAAAAAAGCGAACACCGGGTTCGAAAAAGAAGGAGGAGAATCTGGAAACACAGGAGAGAGACCTGGACGACAAAGATTCCTCTCAGAATCATATGCGGGAACGAAGTAGGAAACTTTGGCCCGCGGCCGTCTTTACTTATAACAGAGCCTCCCCCTCCTCCTTCCCGTGGGCACAGAGGGAAAGACGAAATCGGAACTGCGGAAGTTGCGTCGTGCCAAGATCGTCAACGTGAACCGCAGGACGTACTGTGGGGTTGACGGTCGGGTACCTGAATTGCGACCTGGGATAAACCCCCCTGAGAGGGATGCGGCGTCAGGGGTAGCACTAACAGTAAAACATGGGATTTCGGCATGAAACTGTTAGTGATACGAACCCCGGGACTGCTGCTGCGGGGGTGAGGTAGACGAGGCATGGACTCTGTTTCGAAAGGTTACAGCAAACGCCGACAGTGCCAGGTCACTGACGGGCATCGCCTGTCAATTAAGATCATATCTGTGCCGATTGGTTCATCCCATCTTGCTCGTCCGAATCCTGAAACACGCTCAACATCGAAACCTGAAGGTTCGCGCTTTTCTCAAAAGCAACGCGCGTTTCCCTTCCGCCTCTATTTTACTTCTAGCGACGCATTCCCCATCACCGGCACGATATTGGAGGTTGAGGATGCCCAAAACATGAAATCCGATCAGCAATATCAGATTTCACCTACATGACGACATGTAGGTTGTACTTCAACAATGCTGATCATCACCACCTTCATCACGTCTAGATACTATCAGCAGCCACCTACTCAACCTCTTTACCTAGCCCCAATCCCGTCCACCGTCTTGTCATTCGTCATCTACTCCCCCTCTGAATTCTTCGCAACATTATTCGGAAAATTCCCTCCCACTGCCACATTCAAAATCAAAATGATTCGGCATCCTCGTAATCGCCGTCCAAGCCTTCTCATCCCCAATCTGCGCTCCAGTCAACACCAACATCGGCCTTCCATCCACCAAATACCTCAACTTCTCGCCTTTCCAGGAGGTTCCCGTGGCGATGATGCATGGGAAGGGCGAGGGGTGGAAGCCCGCAAGAAGGAGGGAGAAGTCGTCTTGGAAGAGAATGTGGGAGTAGCCTGGTGGTATGGCAATGCCCCGGCGAGAGAGCTGGGGTTGGGTTGGGGCTGCTAGTGCACCCCAGGTCAAGAAGAGTAGTGCACTTGCGAAAACAGAAAACATCATAATGACTGTGCAGCTAATGGGCGATGGTAGTGAGTGGATAAAGCGAATGCATTCAAGTGATTGCCATCTTCAACATGAAGGAGCTTGTCCAAGAGGGGAATCTTGTCGAATGATTTCTGCCTTCCATATTCCAGGCTGTGAAAGGCATATTATACACATCTGAATGGTTGTTGGCACGAAGCTATCCAGAACTCTGTTCAGGATGTTCTGGCATCTGATGAATTGCTTCGTTCTCATCAGATCTCGGAAAACCCCTTCACACAAGTACCGTACTACCACATCTGGATCGAGAGAGTAGTTTTCCCACGCTTCTGTAGATCTACTAGGGGACACCCTCAAGTTGGTCCTGGCAGTGCCTGGTTCATTGATATGAATCCTGTCTTGGCCAAGTTTACTCTCCTTAGTAGCCCGCTGCATCGTCGTTTCAGCTTGCCGTGTGTAGTTCGGAGCCTCATGATCCGGGCAAATAGTCCAAGTACGGTTGCACAATTGGGCAATTACTCTTGCATGTCAAAGTATTTATGGGCTCTGCTTTTCACGACCTTTGTTCACTCATATGGCCTTTTACTATACCCTTCCTACCTACCCATCCAGATCGCATTCCTCGAATTCTGTTTCGTACTAATGAGCTCTTAACCCATATCCCACGGCACTCCCACTTGTACTAACGAACCACGAAGGACGCCACATATCCCTCTAACTATTACCCTGAAGCAAGGCTGCTGCTCGGGGTCGATGTCAGGAAATCCTATAGGACAAGCTATTGTGGTAGGAAATGAGGAAGTATTGTTTCTTGATAACCCTTTGTCTCGGGATAGGTAACGACAATAAAGGACATCTACTATTAATCTGGTAAAGGAGGTAGGCATTGATGTATGTCAGTTGGAAGGTCGCCAATGTTTCTTAGCTCTCAGTCCGCGCCGTAATTGCCACGCATGTAGGCACTGCTTTCACCAACGTGGTTAAGTGGTACTCTTTCGTACTACATGTTGACCTACCAATAGCATACGCCGCTCGCATGGTCGTTACATCTGCAATCGCGAGATATAGCAAGTTTTCCGGGTAGAAAAGCACTCCTCATTCCTTTCATTATCTATGGATCAACAAACAAGAACCGTGACCTGTGTAGAACATGAAGTGGAACCCAACACCAACCCTCCATCATCTCCCATGCACGCCAGAAGCCAAGTCCCTGTTACCGCAACAATGATAAACCTAGTAATACACCCGCTTGTCGTGCCAGAAACTACAATACCGAGAAAGAAAACAAGAAGGAAAGATGAAATGCAGCCCCAGTCATGATCTTCGTAGTATAATAACGATCGCCCTCTTCAAAGAACACTGTCAGATGGTTTTCTCTTGACGAGACGCCTTCTCTGTTATATCAGACCTAGCGTCATCGTTGTTCTTAGCCGCAGACACTGGCTTCTTATCCTTGATGCTGAGACCCTCCATCGTCTTGCTGGCTCCAGAGAACGGACACGTGCTGTCAGATGCGGATGCCGCCGCCGCCGCCGCCCAGTCTTTGCTTTCGACAACGGACGAAAAAGGACACGCTGAGCTGCCAGTAGCAGCAGCAGCAGCCGAAGAAGAAGAGGCTTCGGAAGTCTCATCTAGCACCTTCTTGCCATGTAAGAACCCTTCCTTCTCTACGACGCCAAAGTCCATTCCGTCCGTGAACTCTTCACCATCGTGTACATACCACCTGGTGAATAAGTCGTTCTGGATCCAAATGACTTTGCCCAGTGCCTTAACAAAAGCGATTTTGCGCGGCATCGGCAGGCGTGGGTGCGACAGGATGGCCTCGTTGAGAATGTCCTGGATGACGCCCAGGGTGACGCCAATGTGGATGTACTCAATGTGCAGCGGGTGCGTGCGGCCGAGCCCAGTGTGCATCATGCCCACTTTGTCGAGATACTCCCAGAACTCCATCTGCGTAGGGTCCGAGCATAGCTTCTTAAGATATGCGCGCAGGAACAGCTTGCGGTGGAGAATCTGGGGGCTTTCCTCGTCGGGGACCTCGTCCATGGAACCCTCGAAGGCGGTGCTGCGGGTCTGGAAGGCGCGCGCCGTGATGTCGTATTGGAGGAGCTTCTTGTAGACGATGTTGACTACGGCGGGGATCAGGGCTTGTATGTACTTGGCGCCGGAGGAGAGAGCTTCGACGTCATCTGTATTTGAAAAGAAATGTGAGAAACACTTGTCCGTGGCTGGCACTTGAAGCCATCCTTCCTGAAAACAACTTACCGGTGCCGAAATCAAGGAAGGAATGGAGATAGCGGATGCGCGCCTCGAGACTGGTGTAGAGCTCCTTGCGGTCGATGTGCTGCATCGGGGCTCTGGTTCTCGCAGAGCTCGAGCTGGCTGAAGACGCCATTGTGACTGACGGTTGTTTCTACAAGCCAAGAGGAGGATATTGATGTGTGTCTTGATGTCCCAAAGAAGTGGAAGAAAAGAAAACGACACCCGACGTCTTGCAAAGTAGGTATTGATGTTCGAGACTGCAGTCAGTCAGTCAGTCAGTCAGTCAGTTAGTGTTGAGCTGCTGGTGAAACCGGCCGATAGTTACCTCTTTATGGTGGAATTGGTGGGGGCGGGACGGGTGTTAGTGTTAGCGGGGAACCTTGATGTCCACGAGTAACGCAGATGAGCAACGTAACCACAAATAAAATAATAGGTAAAAAACTCCAGATGATTGGAGAGGAGATAGTGATCTGCGACCCATGAGAAGTTAGAAGGACAAATGGTGCTTTTGAAGGTCCAAAGGCGATGGTGATGCGAGAGCCAAAGGTACCTGCTTCTCTCGTGGGGCAGCACAATGCGCCTTCCCGAGTGGTGGTTCGATAAGTCACGCCATGTTCGAGGTTCCCGGCCCATCAACAATCACCCCATAGGTAGGTAGGTATTGTGTTTTTTTCTCTCATAGAAACTACTGCCTACAGAAAAACCAAACAGGATCAAAGGGGTTATACAGTCGGAACGCATGACTGGAAATATTCGTTTCTTCGAGCCGTGCCTGGAACCAAGCATTTCGCGACTTATCGGTTTCTTAAACCGGCACCTGCCTCGCTCCTCGTAAAGCGCTGCTTCCGACTTTGGCCGACTTACAATTGTGTCCTTCGCAATTCGCCGTCCCGGACGGGAACTTAATTCGAAACATAGTCGGAGATACGCAGAATTGCTCCCCCAGGTCGTCCTCGCAACCGCCCCCCATGGTCGTTCGAGATCCTTCATTCCATCAGATAATACCATTCTTCAAAGCGTCATCCATCGAGCTGAGTGCTCTTGAGGCTGTCCCTTCCCGCTATTCATAAGGTATAGACATCTTCTGACTAACTTTTCCGCTCAAACATCAGATACGCCCGAAATAGACATAAACTCCCATCAGCCCTCAAAGAGATCTGCAGAATTCCAGAGGCACGATCACGTCCCGGATATCGGGGCTCGCTGCTACCTTTGACGTAGTCCGGACTAATCAGGGCAAAATGCCACCAATAAAAGCTCAACACCGCCTAATGCTATACCGAGAATCGACGACCGAAGTCACGGGAGCCTCCTATTCAGGCTGATCAGCGAACGACCTGGACTCGAACTTTCATATACTCCCCTCTTGAAGCTCTCGGAAAAGCAGCTCCCAGAGCAGCGGGGTTCTTCGATGTAACATCGCCACATGACGAGGGTCGAGATTGACAAAGACCGTTCACGATGCTATTGCCGCATATATCAATGCGGATGATCTCTGCTAGATACTCAAGACATTGGCCCAGACTAGATCAGTATTGGTACCGGAGTTGAAAGCCGAGCAGAGACCGAAGCAGCAAATTAACTCAGCAAGATGCGGGTTTCCTGGGGCCTTCTGGCCTTTCCGGCCGCGGTATCGGCGATCGAGAACGGTATCAACGGCTGGCTACGATATGCGCCCCTTCCCAACGATCAGCGCCCACCAAACCTGCTATTACCGGGTGCAATCATGGCTTTGAGCACCAACAAGACCAGCCCCGTTTATACCGCAGGCCAGGAGCTACAAGCCGGCATCAAAAGCATCCTCAACCAGACTCTTCCCCTCTATCACGAACCCGACAAGTGGTTAGGGTCAACCATCTTGGTCGCTACAACCGGACAATTTCACGGCGTGAAACCTGCCGCAACTCTGGCTGATGATGGCTATCTCCTTCGCGTGAGACCAGGGAATGTGGTGATTCTGGGTCAGACGGAGCGAGGTGCCTTGTACGGAGCCTTTGACTATCTCTCGAGAATCGCCCAAGGAAGATTCTCTGATGCCGACCTGATTGCAAACCCAGACGCCCCCATTCGATGGGTGAATCAGTGGGACAACATGGACGGCAGCATTGAGCGCGGTTATGCGGGCGCTTCCATCTTCTTCCGCAACAACACCATTCCCAAGGACCTCAACAGGGTTTCCCAGTATGCTCGGCTACTCGCTTCCATCGGCATCAATGGCATCGTTGTTAACAACGTCAACGCTAATGCGAACTTGCTCACTGACGCTAACATTGATGGACTGGGCCGTATAGCAGATGCAATGCGCCCATACGGTGTACAGATTGGCATATCGCTAAACTTTGTATCGCCCCAGACTTTGGGAGGACTGTTGACGTTCGATCCTCTCGATCAATCTGTGATTTCCTGGTGGACAGACAAGACGAACTGCCTCTACAGGCGCATTCCAGACATGGCAGGCTACCTGGTCAAGGCCAACTCGGAAGGGCAAGCAGGACCGTTGACCTACAATCGCACGCTTGCAGACGGTGCAAATTTGTTCGCTAAAGCTGTGCAGCCGCACGGCGGCATTGTCATGTTTCGAGCCTTTGTCTATGACAATCACATCAACCCAGCGGACCTTAAAGCGGACCGCGCCAAGCATGCGGTTGAGTTCTTCAAGGGTCTTGACGGACAGTTTTTGGATAACGTTGTTGTGCAGATCAAGTACGGACCCATTGACTTTCAGGTTCGAGAGCCAGCGTCGCCTTTATTCGCCAATATACCCCAGACAAACACCGCGATAGAACTTCAAATTACTCAAGAATATCTGGGTCAGCAGAGCCACCTGGTATATATTGCACCGTTGTGGAAGACGATCCTGGATTTCGATCTTCGGGCTGATGACCAACCGTCACTTGTTCGTGATGTCGTTGCCGGCCGTCGGTTCAGCAACAAGCGTGGTGGCTACGCTGGTGTCGTCAATGTTGGAACCAACACCACATGGCTAGGGAGCCATTTGGCTATGTCGAACTTGTATGCCTACGGCCGTCTGGCCTGGGATCCCAACCAAGACCCGCAAGCTTTACTCGAAGACTGGACGCGACTCACATTTGGCTCAGACCCTCTTGTACTTGGAGTAGTGACGGAGATATCCATGGCATCATGGCCAGCTTACGAAAATTACACTGGCAACCTTGGTATCCAGACACTGACCGATATCTTGTACACCCATTACGGTCCGAACCCTGCGTCCCAGGACAACAACGGCTGGGGACAGTGGACACGTGCAGACCATGACGGGATCGGCATGGACAGAACGGTTTCCACAGGCACCGGCTTTTCCGGCCAGTATCCCGCCGAAGTAGCCGAGAAGTTCGAGAGCATCGAGACTACTCCGGACGACCTGCTCCTCTGGTTCCACCACGTGAACTACACGCACGTTCTCAAGTCCGGCAAGTCAGTGATACAGCATTTCTACGATGCTCACTACGCCGGTGCCGAAACAGCACAGACATTCCCCATCGCATGGGAATCACTTCGGAACAAGATTGATACCGAGCGCTTCAATGACGTTCTCTTCCGCCTCCGCTACCAGGCCGGTCACTCCATAGTCTGGCGCGATTCCATTTGTCAATTCTACTATAATCTCTCCGGCATCCCAGACGGCACCGGCCGCGTGGGGAGACATGAGTACAGGATCGAGGCTGAGACCATGGCGCTGAAGAACTACAAGCTTACGGGGGTCAATCCGGTTGAGACAGCTTCGAATCTAACTGCTGTGGTTCTCGTTTCCAACCACACATCGGGAGAGGCGACTACGAAACTCAACTTTGACTCGGGCAAGTATGATGTCGCGATCAACTACTTTGACTTGATCGGTGGTAAGGCGCACTACAAGGCGTTCCTCAACGGGAAGTTGTTGCTGAAATGGGCTGGAGATCTGGAAGACAAACTAGGCCACACTTTCTCTACAAAGCTTGATGGACACTCAGCTACGAGGGTTACGATTCGTGACATCCAAATCCAAAAAGGGGATGTGTTGAAGATTACGGGAGTAGCTGAAGGAAACGAGCTGGCACCGTTGGATTATATTGCTGTCTTGCCGCAAGGTGTTGTTGACTAACGGTACCATGGCGAGCGGTGTGTGGAGCGAGAAAAGTTTGGTGAGCAAAAGAGCGAGGCAAAGAACGTATAACTTGATACGGACAAATACCGATACTTTCCAAGAATGCATAATCCGCCCGCTAACGCTTTCAGTATCATCTATCTGTCCCAGTCTTCACTTGTCATTCCTTCTCTCGTTGTGCCTCTTTTTGCAGGCAGGGAGATCATATCTACCTAAACCTCCCTTCCCAAGAACTCATGAACCCTCTCCAAAGTCTCCCCAGCCGAATAACTCAGCGTCAAATCATGACCAGTCTCGCGAGGCGACCAAACTTCATATCTCCTCGCCCTCGGAAAAGTCTTCCCTGTCTCCCACAACCTTTTCACACAATCCTCCTCCGGCGGGTTGCACATAACGAAATCTCTCTGTCCCGTTGCAACCAACACCGGACCCTCAAATTCTTCCGCACCCACGCCCCAATCCCCCAGACTTACCACCTCCCCTAGCGTGACCGCATCCGAGTATTCATAATCCGTCCTCGCTAACTCAGGGTCATATGACCTACCAGCAGCATCGGTGGCGTTGTCGTAGAACCCTTTCTCCCGGCCTTCCAAAGTGGCGATGGTCAGATATTCTAAATTGTGAAGATACTTGTCGGAGGGAAATCGATCAGGATAGACGCTAGGGGCGGACGCCCAAGGAGCGGAACGCACGTGCAAGGTGTTTTGACGGGAGCTGTAGCCTGTCAAGACCAAGGCGGAGGCGTCAAGGGGGTAGGAACGGGCAAGGGCAACAGAGAGGTAGGAGCCTAGGGAGTGCCCTACCAAGGCAATTTTGGAAAAGGTCCTTCCCAGTGGGTTGGTCTTGGGGAAGGTAGTCTTGGTGTTGGGCTGGGTCTTGATCACAGAGATAAGCTGGTGCAGAAGCTCCGTCTGCAACGGCATTTGCACATCATTTAACGGATCCAAATCCCGCGGGTCGTTCTCTCCGTGAGACAAACGGTCGAGGGCGAGGGTGTGGTAGCCTTGCGAAGGGCTGGTCGCGTAGGACTGCCAGTCGTAGGGATAACCAAAACCGTAGCCGGACCACATGGTTTTGTTGTAGGTGGCGCCGTGGAGGAGGATTTGGAGGACGCCTTCATTTTTGGATTTGTGGGAAGGTCTACAATAGATGGCCTTGAGGGTGAAGGTTCCGTTGACGGTATGGTTTCCGTTTGCCACTACAGTGCCATCCCAGGATTGGTTGATGGTGTCGAGGATTTCGGTCTTGTTAGAAGGGTCGGGAGGGGAGGCGAGGAAAATGTGCGAGGCGGTCGCGGTGAGGGTGAAGGATAGAGGGGCACAAAGTGGGTTATGAGAGCTGTGAGAGAGCTCATGAGCGGCGGAACTGTGGCCACGTGTTGGGCTTATGAAGATGGGGAGGAGAATCCCCAGGAGGGAGAGGTTTGGGGGTAATTTGGCAAGCATTTTTCGTGGGAGTGACACCGTGACACTGAGGAGATTGATGGTAGTCTGGAAGTTCTGGGAGGGAATCGGATGTCTGCAGTAACGTCCTGGAGTCATGCTTCACGGCACCATTTATTAGCTTTGTGATCGGATATTTCTACCCAAGTCCATCCCATCCAGATACAGGTGTTGCCCTATCACAGTATCGACCGACTGATGTCGTGATATGGCACATGGACCTTTAATGCGACCACATGGGTTGAGTTTTGTAAGCACGATTTGAAATCTCGAATCGAGCAAGTGCATGGATCGGAAACGCTACTATACTGGTAAGCACATAAGTTAACCTTTACAATGAGTCCAAACAGACAAGTCATATTGAAGGATTATGGGATCCGAGGTGGCTTCGGAGGAATCATGATCATGTGTGATCAATCCTTTAAATCCGGGACGGACATAAGGTATTTGTCAGCGATAATCTTGCAAGCGATTTACCGGAGGTCAACTGGTTATACATAAGTGATTACTGGCCACGGCTCAGGACGTATCATCGTGGAAATCAGCTACGGAGATCAAGTACTCGCAGGTTGTGATAATGGGAATTATAGAAAGAAATGGTGGAGCAAATAGTCATTAAACCGGAGCCCGATTAGCTCAGCTGGTTAGAGCGTCGTACTAATATCAGTCTTCTGATATCAAGTCCATGCGAAGGTCAACAGTTCAATCCTATTATTGGGCATTCATTTTTATCTTTTTGCTTCTATCACTTATATATCCTCATTCTTCAATTTCTCTTCGTATGTTTTGCTTCTTTTCCTTTGTTTCTTCCTTGTGTTTTTATTTACTTCTGGGGCCTCCTGTTTTTTGAGGCTTTTGTGACTGCTGGGGTTGCCCACACCAGGTGTTATGTAGGTGATTGACCGTGGTTATCATACATGCCAGCATCTGCAACATGTACCCAAGTTTTACCACAACACAACGAAGTGCAACACAAGTGTGCTGACAAATCGATTATTGTTCAACATGCTCACAAGTTGAGATTTCCATCAATGTCACAAACGAGATGCGCGATTTGACTGGTTCCCCTTTTTGTATTTCTTCCAGACTTTTGAGGCAGACCTTGCTTTCATTCATGTTTTGGTCCAGGGTACATCCAGCTCTGCGATTGAATTAAATCACATGTGAACATTTTACATGAACTAATCTCGAGGATCCCCCGGAGCCTGGAAGAACACCCAAGGTATTGTGAGAGGCACATGAAGGTCGGCGCCCGTCTACCATAGGAAGCTGTGCTACAGACCGCAGGGGGATCGAGCCTGGGGCTTTTTTTGTTGGTGTTGGCAGATACACGCCTCGGTTGGCGCGGAAACGGATAGGGGCAGGCATTGGTTCGAGTGGCTGATCCCCTTACTGGGTGGTGTAGGTTGGTAAAGCCCATCGACAGATGTGGCGTCGGTATGCTGACACAAGCGGGGTGGAAGGCGTCAAAAGCTCGTCGACAAGCTGTTCCACTTGGAATCTCAGAACGTGGTCTGTAGTTTGGGATAGTCATTGGCGTTGACCTCCAAGTCCGCAAAGATCCGACCAGAGTCATCATCGCTTAGACCCTTAAGCCTCTGTAAATCCTCCTCCTCAAGCTTCTCCAATTCCTCGGCTGGTTCTTCCTTGTTCTCTTTCTCATCGGCCTTCTGCGGCTCCAGCACCTTTTCGACACCGGACGACTCGCCAATGAGAAGGAACTGAGTATTGACTATGTCGAGGTGCTTGGGCTGTGTGGGCATCCATCGACGAGATCGGAACTCTTTGAGGACCCTGTACAGAAATGGTGATTAGTTTTTGCTGGTAGCCATGGGTTCGTGATACGGCATGGTGAACTCACTCCTCAGGATACTCTGGACCCTTTGGTAAACGCGCATTGGGTGGGGCAGGATACTGTGGATTTTTGGTACTGATTATGAAGCTGCCTTTCTGTTTCAACCCGAGCTCCGTCTGGACCTCCCCGAGCTCCTCGGGCACAGTGAGAATGTACGCGAGGTGGCTCTCGGACCCAGTGCTGGTGATGGCATACACGCCCTCGGCCACAGGTGTTGCGGCGGGGGAGTGTCTGGTACCCGCTGTCTTGGTCTCATAGTCATTGGACGCCAAAAATTCATCCTTGAGCTGCTGAAACGAGGCGCTAGTCTTCTCAACGAACGCGATCCACCTGTCCTTGCCAGACTGGGGGAGCACCTTCTTCGGGATGGCGCACAAGCGGCTGTTGCCAGCATCACCAATAGGACCGCTTCCAAGCTTGGCATCCCTCTCGATAGGGCGGAGGATGATGTAGCTCCTCGCAATCTCATTTACGTCAGAAGGCTCATCAATGCCGACACGGCCACGGATGAAAAAGTAGATGATACCCTTCTCGAGAATACTGGACGGCACAGCTTTGGGAGCGTCTCGACCGTGTGGCTCAACAGCACTCTTCTTGTCTCGGTCATCTTTCTCCTCTCTCTGACACTCGGTCTTCTCGGCTTCGACGCCAGCACGCCTGGTCTCCTCAGTTTCTTTCTTGGTCGAATGGCTATCCGCGATCTCCGTCTTGTTCCGCTTGGCCTTGGGCGATTCGCTGGCGCCTTCCGAATCAGGGTCGGCCTTGTGTTTAGAGCCGGGCTCAGCCTCTGAGGCAGGAGGTGCCGCATCAGGAGCCTTCTCCTTCTTGGAAGCCTCTCTTGTACTGGGCGCCATGTTGACAGGGGTGGGTTGACCAGAAAGTTTTCAGTAAATCGAAGAAGGTTGAGGGAAGGAAGCTAGATCACGCGACGAGATAAGACTGCAGGTGGGAGACAGTGACTTTGAAGAGACATTGAAGGTCCCGACCTTTCATTGAACTGTCAATGGGGGTAAACAGCCTGGAGGAATGATGTCATGATGGCTGCCAGCACGGTGTCGATACGCTGAATGGAGAACTGCTTCGTTGCTTCTCTACACTACTAGTACTACTAGAGTGTAAGAACTAGAATGTGATTTGACGGTCAGTTGGGGACCTTGACGGAAAGAGGAACGTGCGTAAGGCATGACCCACTTCCCCGTCCGCCGCGCTGATAGGTCAGGTATTACCTCCACTGCGTACAGTACCTACATATTCATTTGTTCCCCCGCAATTGGCGACCGTACGTGTACTCTCAGAGTGCACGCGCCATTACTCAAGTACTGCATTCCGACGGTGTCATCAACAACGGCAAGTCGCGAATACAACGAACCGGCTGCTTTCCTTGTGTACCATACTTCTCGGCGGCAAGGAAAAAAAATTCGAAAGGACGAATGCACTGTATTTCCGTACCGTATGCTCCCGCTCCGATGAGTGCCTGGTCGATGCTACTAGTATGAAAAGGAAACTTGTAACTCTATAGTACGCTTTAACCACCCCAGACCTCCTTCCTCTTTCGACCAGTCTATCTGGCACGATCTGCTTCCTTCCACCGCACTTTTCGCCTCTTTGACATAAATATTGTTGTGCTCTTCAGATGGAAACTTTCCTCACCCTCGGCTCCTGTTCTCCTTCTTTCGCGGTCCTCCGCCCTCATTCAATGGCTTCTCCCGTCTGTCTCTGCGCGTCCAATGCAACCAAAGTCTTTCCGTTCGAGCCCTGCCCATGGATGCTAACAAAGTACTAATGCTTCCACTCATTCGCTTCTGTGTGTACGAGTTTCGACTCCGCACTAACTGAATCATACTTCGTTATCTAGTGTCACCTTCGCTTCTAGATCTCGATAGAGGTCTCGTGGAACACCCAGGTCATCCATCATCTCTCGAAACTCTCGACCGCATCTCTGCCCCTGCGTCTCCGAATCGGTCTCTCGCCGAGCTCCAACTGACCGTGACCGGGCGTGTCGGTGTCCTATCAACCGATCCAACACCATGAGGTACCGACCGTCCGACCTCAAGACCGCCACCTCAGCCAAGGCACTGCAGATGGACAGCCAGCCCAGTATGTAATTGATGTTGGTTGTTCCTTCCATCATGCGGAACTCCATGGTCCGAGGGTTGTTTCGCGCCCGTTCGTCCTCCAAACCGAAGGCGCTAAAGTTGAAACCGAGTCGTCGATAGGGCTTCTTTTCTCCCGACAACAACCGTCCCAGCTCCATATGCGATTCTGCTTTCCACAGCTCCTCGATGGCCTTTCGGTCCTTGGCCTGCATTTCCGGATGGGTTTTGAGCACGTCGGCCACCTGCCAATCTTCGACCAGCACCCCGTCTTGGCAAGTCGCCGACCCATGCTCTCGGAGTACGAGTTCTTGAGCCCTCGAAGCCAGGCGACTGTACTTTCGTGTCTCGAATCCCCACGTATACACATTGTGATAGTTGGGCGACCTTGGATTTCTGATACTCCGGATCTGCTCTTCGCCCATCCACAGCAGCGTCCCTAGTCTTTTTAAAGTGGCCAGACTGAAAGGCTGTCCGTCTGTGCGTCCGATGTGGACGTGCACTTCGCAAGTGTAGTTTGCGACCAGACGGTGGCCCGAAAAGAGCGAGCGCAATACTGCCTCGATCCGATGCTTGGTCTCGGCATCTTTGGCTGGCAGTGATGGCGAGCTTACTTCGACAGACAGCCACACATAGCCCTCTAGATTGGCTTGCTCTGGTGTGGGTTCGGCCGAGTTGGCTTTCTTCACGATCCAGTGCGACTTCCAGAATGCTCGCTCATGGCTTGCATCTTTTGTGATTCGAGAGATGGTTGTCGACTTCTCCCCCGCTTGGCTTATCGATTTGGCGATGGATTCATAAATCTGTTCCCGCCGAGTGGCTTCGCTGTCTTTCAGCTGTGTCATGCTGACCTCTCTGTGGTCTTCAGGTTGCGGATCTTCTTCACCCTGGACAAGGAGAGGGAGCAAGAACTTTAGTTCCACCCCAAATGATAGGTCATGGATTGTATCAAGCGGTGGATTTGCCTCCATCAGCGAGTGTTTGATGACATGCTTCGGTGATTCAATAGCAAGCCTTTGTGGATCCACGTGGTCGCTGGAATCGGGTATTGCAATCATAATCCTCCTATCTACAACCCAGTACCCAGAGCTGGACAGCATGTCCGGCTCCTGTATGTACGGAGCCATGTTGGCGGTGGGGGAAGTGGCCTCTGCAAGTTGACCGGAAGAACGCAAGGAGGTATTGAAGATCCCAGGACGGGGAGGAGGGAGGTCGAGCTCCTTAGTCAAGGCTCTTTGCTGATGGTGGTCGATTCGTTTGCTGAACACGGCGAGGGCACCATCCAATTTATCTTCCTCGCGGACCTAGCAGTCCAATCTTAGTGGAAGTTCAAGTAGTCCGATGTTGTGTCGTCCCTTAGAGAGGTGTCACGGGCTGGATGCACAGCGCTTCTTGGCTGAACAGCTGGGTCTCACGTTTATGTTGATCTGGAAGATGCCCCGATTCTAGACTCGGATGCGTTAGCCGTGACCTTGGCAAACAAAGTTACAGTGCCAAATCAGGAGGCTCTGTTACCTCTGGACCACCTCTCAACCCTCAACTGGAATGGCTTTGGACCAAAAAGGAAACCACGACAGGTCTCCTTCGATGAATCGGGCGCGGTCCTTCTCAACCGTTAGCAAAGGGTCCCAAATTGTGCGAAGGATACGGACTCTAGACACCGTACGGACTGTGCATACTCATCAGCGTTTGGATGTGACCCCCCAAAAAGCCGGCTACAGAGTCACATCAACTTATATGCTGAAATTTGCTGACGCAGTCAATAGTATGTCCGAACCGGGAGAGCGCTATGAGGAAACCCTGGGCGTTCTGGGATGAAGGGATATGGAATCTAGATGACATCGGCGGGAAATCCAGGTGACACCTGGAGTCTCCATCCAGCCGCTGTTATATCTGCCAGCACCTTAGTCTACGAGACCATCCTATACTAATATTGAGAGCCCTTGCCAGCGCCTGCTCAGTTGACACCTTCACAAAAGGACAACAAACTGCAACAACGAATGCATATCAACCCTGACCCATACGGCCAGCCATTATCCATATCACTGGGGGGTCCAACGCCGCTCCTACGCTAGACTCCATCAAGATTCGTTGTTGGCTCGGTAGGTGCCAGATTGGCACACCCGGGCAAGATGCTAGGTCGCAATACTGGGCTTATTAGCAAATGAAGCGTTCCCAGGGGAAGGTCAAATCAGTACCACCATGCATGCCACCCTATACTACCCCCGCCCGCATAGCTGCTACATCACTCGATTCCCCAGTCGGTCTCCAATCACACCCCTGATCTTATCACGCCTGGTGATCATTCCACACTGAGGCCAGAGCATTGCCGGCGGTTGTGGCTTCAACTTATCTTCGATCGCATCATGCTTTATGATGCCAAGTTTACTCTGACGGGATTCTGGCCCTTCGGCAATTTCTTTCTTCACCATTCCTCCACGAACACCGCGAAGGGGTTCTGGGGGATTACTCACCGCAGGTATAACCCTCAGTCCCAGTAGGTATGATTACCTCGAAACAACCTTACCTGTCATTCCACCGCTTGTCGACATTTGACAGGCATCCATATGTCGTCAGCGTCCTATACTTACAAAAATTCCTCCTGGCCTCAGCCTTGCCAGCCATGACACCTCTCATTTCCTTAACTTGTGTTTATGTTGTTGGTTTGATCTTTTGTGGCCCGTCAATGCGTCTGCTTGCATGGGGATTACCACCCTCTCGGACCTGGCTCCTGACTAATAGAGAGGACGTGTTGGGAAAACCATGACCCAATTGGCAAAAATATCTTACGCCACGCAGGTGTCGCCGGTCATCGCAACCAACTGCTGCCGGATGACATACATACAGATCTACAAAGGTACTGTACTAGTACCGAAGCTGATCATCAGGGTACTTAATCAAGCAATCAATTTGCGACACACAAGATCTCGTCAGACATGATCTCAGCTGATCTACTTGTCCCCCGTCTTCATATTCTACCTGGATTGGTCGATTCAAGGCCATTCGAAGCAGCATCATATACCAGGCCACTGACGCAGGATATCAAGTCAGAGCATATCAAATCAGGCCCAACCGGTACTCGTAAGTAGACAAGCCAGTCTTCTCACAGGATCCCACAAAAGAACCATCACTCGACACACCCGCTTTGTTATCGTTTTGAAGTGTGCTCTCTATTTTGTGTACATCGACCTAACCAAAGATGAAACCACAGATTCGGGCTTCGTCGAGATACGGTTCAGTTACACTTTGTAAACTCCGGGTCCAGACCGCAAGCAGACATAGAGGATTCTGTTTCCGTTTGAGTTCTTGGAGAAACTACACGCCTTTCTCTCCGATCCTATTATGAGAGAATGTCGAAATGGTCAGATAGAGGACCTACCCACCCGCTTACTTAGTACCCAAACAGCATGTCAGTCTGGTATTGTGTAACAGACCATAAGCCGTTGTTACATGTGCTCAAGTTACACAACATGTGAGTATTCTACCTTTGGGCTGAGGAGGCATATTGACGTTTCACAGAAGACTTCTATCCATCCTGCTTGGGCACCTATATTCGAGATGCGTATGCGTAATGTATCCTGCGAGTTCCTGCAAAGGGTTGACACGCTGCAGCACCGCAGCATTGCAGACAGGCATGACCCAGCTCGTCCGCTTGTATGAGACGTAGGCGGCTAGAGCGTCGGCGGTGGAAAAAAAATTATCAATAATTCGTTGGGCGGAGTAAGAGGACATGGCTTGGGTCAACAAGGTGTTGCTACTCTTTCGTCATCTCATGGTTTGACATTGAAGTGTTGGCTTGGATCTGTGATGACTATGTCAGATTTTAGAAGGGTAAACCTCCGCACACCCACCCCAAACCTACATACACCCAAAAAGGAGGGATGTCAGCTGTCATGTAAAATACGTCGTTTTAGCTGTAAAAACCGTGATTTGTAATGTCTTGCACATTCTGACCTAGTAAATCCTATGTAGTAAATCCCATATAGCAAATCTGACAGCGCCAATCTAGTAATACTTTCATAGTGTTGAGGGAACTCTACTCTACTCTATTCTACTCTAAATACTAATATCTGACAATTTAGATAGCTCGTCAGAGGAGGCTGTTGATAATATTTCAATAGCCTCCTCTCTCGCCTCCTTTCTCGCTATCTACTCTCTTACTCTCGCCTCCCAATATCTACCTAGCTCGTTATCCTTATCCTTATCTTCGTTAACTACCTTAATACAACTACGTATTTCGTCTTGGGTATCTAACTACTTAATATTGGGCCCCAACTCGTATTGGGAGTAGTTGCGCCGTACTGAAGCCCATATGGGCTGGGTATTCCTCGATCTATTACGGGGCGCCACTGTACTAGCTTTCTTACCCTAGGTCACCTGGCTAAATGACCCACTTAGTAGAATAGCTTTATCGCCAAATAGGCTACCCTATTTAGGGGGGCGACCTTTAGGCATACCCTTAGCGGCCAAGCGAAGACGTAAATATCTATCTACCGAATTCTAATGTAGTAGTTAGTATAAGGATGACCGGGGAAGGGATAGTAATAATTTTACCCGTTATTAAATTAGATGCTAAAATAGATAATAATTATCCTTAGTAACTAAGACTATCTTACTAGCTTCCCTCTTTACCTCTATCTCGTAGGTATAAGGGAGGCTATACTAGGCTTTAAACTATTTAATATATAGTTTAAACAGTATATTAGGGTAATTTATAATAGGGAGTATAGCCTTCAATTAATTATATTGGCGAGTAAGTAATTTATATACCTACGCCGTTATATTAAGAGGAGTATTGCCTACCTATAGGCGCCCGATCTAGTTTATACGTACGCGTGAGGCTGCCTTTGTAATCTTTTCCTTAAAATGGGTATAACGGCGGGTAATATACTTATTATTAGTATAGTATAGATTTATTAAACTGCTACGAATAAATAACCTATATAATTTGAGGGAGCTATTGTTGAATTTACTTAGCGATGTAGTCCGATGCTTATAGTTGAAATAGTTCTTCGTATAGTAATTAGCCTACTTCTTCTTATAAGGGAATAAATCGGCCGCGATCTATTTAATAATAGCTTCTTATATTCCCCTAAGTTAATAATATAGAAGGAATAAGGTGGCTTCAAACTCCGGGACTAACGGGGTATAAATTATATATTATTATATATAAAAGAACCCTACCCAAATATTAGTAATCCTCGTGGGGAGTGGGCTTAATTTAGCCTATATTTTGGTAGTTGTTTTGATCTTTTTGTGTATGCAGTATAATCGATCGAGATTATTTTAATTATATTAATCTATTGCTTCTCGCTGTACTTGCTGTGCTGCCGTTTGACTACCGCTAGAGTTATCGCTGTTATCCTCCTCCTTACTAGATTCTTCGCTATTCTTACTCTAATTACTAGACTACTATTTATTACTATTTGGCTCTATACGCTCCTAATTATCTTTGAAGTACTTAATAATATTATAGTTAATATACTATATATAATATTAACGTTAAACGTTTAGGAAGATTCGGTTAATAGTTTTAATAAGTTAGTTATTACTATTAGTAATAATAACCGTTAGTTCAAGAACTGATAAATTATTTATAATCTTTTTAATATACTCAACCAGCTAGCCAAATCCCTTATCCTTCTCATTATTAATAGCTATTTAAAAAATTAGTATTAATAACCGTTCAAGGGTAACTATAATACCCTATATTATTAGTATATAATACCGATTTGTTTTATATGTACCGTCGAGTAATAGAATATATAAATATCGCCTCTATATCTTTCTTTACTTAATTATATACTAAAGACTATAGCGAAGTATAGTAGGCTCCTCTTTTTATTAACCCTTATTGTTATAGTAGTAATTAAATTAATAGTATTTAAGCGTAATAACCTCTTTGTTATTGACGGTGCGTACGAATATTTATATATTAGTATAACCTCCGTTATTTTGCTGGTGTAACTTCTAGCGTATATTATTAAGGTCTTTGTACGTAAAGAGTAATTTAGAGTATTACTTCTTAACCGTTATATATATATATTATATACGGTTAATTCTTATTGGCGAAAGAGACTTGTATAATATTTGTAGCTTTTTGTATCGAGAGACTATTATTGGAAGATTAAATAATAAGATAAGTCTTTCAATGGGAGATAGCCTTAGTACGTACGATCGATCGCCTATATTGAATATTTATAACCGTTCTTCTTTAAGTATTAAACTACAATATAGAAGGGATATTTATTAGCGATCTTTCTGGTGGTTGTACGACGTTTCTTATAGGGATTTACATTTATATTAGGCGTAGCTTCAGTATAGTTATAGTGATAGATTTTGTAGTAAAATTCGCCCTTATATAGTCCCGCTATAAAGTAGTCAGTGCGAAGTATAGATACGCTGAATTTATAGCGGCGGTATATTTCAATAATCTTTTGTATAGTAGTATTTAAATCGGTAGGTAGGAGAATAAAGGCGCTATTATTAGGTGGGATAGCTTATTTAATATTGCTGTCGAAGGAGGTATGACTATTTGCAAATATAGACGATAAAGTAGTTAAATCGCGACGGCGATGAGGCTGCTGTGTAGAAGAAGGTAATATCTATTAACTGTTAGCGATTGTACGTAATTAAGAGCAATTGTAGATAATTAAAATTAATTAATTTGAGTAAGATTATGTACGTTGAGGGTATATGTATAGTACTATTGTATGCAAAGCGCTAGTGTAGATACGTATAAAGTACTAGTATAATAGCGTGCAGAATACTGGTGCTGGTGCAATTGGCTGTGTGAAAAAGAGCGAAAGAAATGACCAAGTTAGAGGAAATGTTGCGTGTATTTGAAAAACGAAATTTTGCGGGTAAAAACGGGATTTACAATATCAGGTATCATCAGCTACACGGTCCCACATTTCCCTGGTTTTTGGGTGTATATAGGTTTGGGGTGGGTGTACGGAGGTTTACCCTTTTAGAACGAGGAGAGACAAATGAAACCAACACCGAGCCAGTGGCTTGAGATGTTTTGCAAAATGATGAGAAAAGGGCCGGCTAGGTCGGATAATCTCTGCTGAATTTTTCGAGGTCCTGTCTCTTGCTGTCGGGTAGTATCTTGTCCATTCGCATGCTTGCGCTTATAAAACAATTTGTCATCACTTCCGTGACTCGACAGGAGTTGGAGCTCTTTCTGAAACAGACAAGAAAGAGAAAGGTCGAATTTGGTCTTCTTGGCTTACTGTCAACATCCAGTTGATGCCAACTTCCAGGCAAGAAACTCACATTCGGACCTTGGACCGACTTTGACCATCTCTGTCTTATGAGCCTGAACTATTCCCGTAAGAAGTCATGAGACGAGACAGTGATGTACGTTGAAAGGAGTAAGCGTTTCAGATATTGTCGTCCTATGGTGTCTTTTCTGCATCATACCTGATATCCTTGGCAGAAGGCTTGTCAAGCTATTCACCCTCCATGCCTTGATTGAGGCGCACAACGCCGCAGTGTCTATCGCGTTGTCAGATACAGAGACACCATTGCCTGACCGAGAAGAAACTTTTTGCATAGAAAGAAAAAGAGGGCCGAATGAAGGCGAAGACCACGGATCGACGAAAGAGTAACAAAGCTAACGAAGAACACAGGAGAGAGGAAGCTATAAAAAACATCCAGATTGTGAGAGAAAATGGTTGACCAAACGAGGCCTAGCTAGCTAGCGAGCCATATAACAAGCCGGGCAGAAAGCGTAAAGAATCGATCTAATAAAGTCGATTATAGAAGAGAGGAAAGCAGCCATGAAAGTGAACAATTTCCCAGCTCGCCTGTTGACTCCGGTTCACATTCATAGTTCACACCCCAAATCCAACACCAACAGGGACACTCAACATCCAACATCCTGGATGACTCTTCAAAACGCCACGGAATTAATTGGCAGATTACGCAGTTGCATATCGGTTTAACTTCATTATCTTCAACCCCATTACCGTTCGTTGCCAAGGTGGAATTGACGGGATGGGCATATTACAGGGTAGCATGTATAATATATATATATACACGACGACAACGGTCTATTAGCGGTGTACCCGCCTCCTTTGATAAAGAACCATTGGCATCACATCACATCACTTCAGATCTTCCTAGATCTGACTGACAGCTCTTCACAGTACGTTAGTGTCGTCGCCCATATGGGTATTTGGGCTTCCTCATGGCTGTGTTACCCGACAGATCACCTACGTTCATCTACTACTACTATGTTTGACCACTACTTCGACCACAACTATCATCGCGACTATTGCTCTAGACTCCCTATCTTTCTCTATATCTCTCTCTCTCTTTACTCCAACTACCTTCGGGCTGATCCAGTAAGATCGGTTCGTCGAGTGGGTCTCTGTCTGACAATGTCAATGGCTTACCTATGTTCAATCTCTGAAATGTGAAACCACGATTACGGTTACATTCACGGTTTACGGTCATGGTCACGACTTCTCAGTCTCACGGCCATGATGACAGCAGCTGTCAAGATCACGGTCACGGCTACATACCTTGCTACCCACCAATTACCAATAACAAGCACTACTCTTTATCTTGTCGCCGCAGACATATCTTTGGTAACACGTGGAATGACAACTGGGAGTTGGGATACTCCAATGTTCCTTCCAAACTTCCAATCTCTTCGGAGGCTGATAACCCGTTACGGTGAACTGGAAGGACTGGCCGTCGGAGGCCTCAACTGTTTCGTGCCATGTTTCCTCAAACACTTGACATGTCATATTTTCTCAACAATACTCCCTTCGCCTAAGTGGTAGGCGGGAGGGAGAAGATGGTTGGGGGGTGGGGAGCTTTTACACGGACGGACCGATCTGGAGAAGCCTACCGACCGACTGGTTGTCCACCGTTGAAGTGACATGTAGGTGGATTTGTGTATGTCCAATATGAAACTCAACGTCTTATGCGCTGGTGGTGACTAATATGCCATCATATTCAAGAGAGAGATTGCCCACCCAGGCGGCAAGAAGAATCGAAGAGCGAAGGGCTGTGTGATCTATGTCGAAGAATGATAGAGCAGCTGGCAAGAGAGCTAATGGTAATGCAAGGCCACGCAATCCAAGGCAGTCCTAACCATTCAAGTCCAGCAAAGCAAGCCCTAGCAGCAATATCTTGTCACCCATATCCATGAAATATATTGCGATCGAGCATGGAAAAAGAACCAAAAAAAACAGAGGCTCCCCGAAGGACTTCTATCGACTAAGCCAAGAGATATCAGGCCATATAATAAACACAATATCCTTTGTATTGCTGTATGAACGCCAAATTAACGCTTGTGAAACAGAAATTCGTGAATCTTTTTCCACGTCCGCATCGCAAGATCTATCGATCTTACCCCTCGGCATCATTCCATCATATACATGCCAAAGCCTTTCTAGCTTTACTGTCCTCGAAGCAGCAGCACAGCCGTTATACCATGATGGTCAAACCAATATTAACTTGTTGGTGTCCTAGACCACGTCAGAGACAAGGCCACGGTCGCAATGCGCAGCATTGGCGCCAGAAATCTTGTCTTGTTGCTCAGGCAACCGTCTTGCCACCACAGTCCGGAATCTTGATTCCCTTTTTGAGATTCCTGTCGACGTCCATGAGACCCCAGTGATCCTCCCATTGCTGGTCCTTGGTGTTGAACCGGATCTTCCATGGCTCGTCAAAGGCCTCGAACCAGAAATACTCGGTTCCGTTGGCGAGGGCCTGGCATACCCAATCGCTCATGAACTGGTTCAACTCGGTAATGCCAGCCACCGCACGACCCGGGCAGTTGGTACTTTTGGTATCCGGGTAGCAGTCCGACCCACCCTGTGACGGCCAACCAGTCTCGCTGATGATGTTTTTAGACTTATCTGATTTCATAAAGGTGCCAGCATGGTCTTTCCAGAAAGTCGTGGTCCATGCTGCTGCATCCTTGGCGTTGACGCCGCCGAAGAAAGGGTGAATGTTCGCCATGATGTAATCGCTCACTTTGGCCAGTGATTCATCCCAGTTGTCGCCAAGATCGCTGGTTGCCACTGGTAGCTTCATGCCCCTAGAGGTGAGGTTCGTACGGACGTCGGAGAGTAGTGTGCTCAGACTAGCGAGAGTCATTTCCTTGCGGAACAAAATTTCGTTAGCTACAATAAGACCCTTGAACCATTTATCGCCATAACTGTCGAGAATTGTCCACATCTGGGAGAGCTGACGATCATTAGTCGTTGTGTTGCCATCCTGCCAGACGCCCAGCCAAATCTTGATCGTGTTGTCGAGCTTCAGCTGCTTCAGCGCGTGGATGACCATCTCGGTTTGGTTACAATCGGTGCCGTAAAGCCGAACTGTGTTGGTCATCTGTGACAGAACCGCGATATCACGAGTGATGCTGTTTTGCGAAGGAGGGTTGTGGATGCAATCCGGGTACTGGGAATTGAGTGGCGTATAATCTATACCCGGAAAGACTTTGTGTAGGCCGGGGTTATTCATGAGCGCCTGGATCTCGGAGGAGTTGATGTCGAGATCCCCATTATTTTGCATGTCATCAGCAGCGGAATCGCCCTGTTTCTTGTCTTCGCCGCCGCGCTTGAGCACAACACCGAATACAATTCCGAGGACAATGGCGGCAGCAACAAGAAGTCCAAGCGTCAGGATGGCCGCTAGCCTCCACTTCTTGCCCCTACTCCTCGACTTGCCGGTAGAGTTCCACCCAGGCTTTTCAGCTACGAAACCTGGTTTATATGGACTGGCCGCATGTATAGTGTCGGTCATCTGGACGTTGTTTTTGATCGGAGTATAGCCAGAGACATTACCGCTCTCATTACGGCTGGCCAGACCGCCAATGACGCCGCCAGCCGCAGCGGTGCCAGCAACGGCTCCAGCGCTCTTGTTGCTCCCATTACCGAGGCTGAGGATGCTGTTCCTTTTCGACTTGCGGTGGTAATTGAGCCCGTCATCGTCATCATCATCAAGAGCAGCGAGCGGATCGACAACCCCCAGACCTGGTGGCTGAGGACGGCCATAGCTCAGAAAGGGATCGTCTGTGTAGATACCTGTCGTACCAGGACCTTGACGTGGGCTTCTGGAGGGACTTGTCTGCCCAGGTGTACCGGCCCCCGGCGCATATTGCGCAGCATTTAATGCCTGCGAACTGCTTTGTAGGCTAGGGGGCCCGCTGTTTTGTGCATACGGACTGGCATAAGGCATCTGCGCCTGGAAATAGTTCGATGCGTCGCGCGCATTGGGCCCGGGGTTCTGTTGGCTTTGAAATTGCCCTGGAGTAGGTTGTTGGTCGTATTCTTGTGGGTAAGCGGGGCCGTCAAGTGCGTTGAGTCCGCTCTCCCTCGCAGTCTGGTCAGCGACAGTCAGCGCAATCCCCGTCACACCACCGGCAGCAGCATTGCTGAAGTCGTCCGCTCCAGGAGTGATGTTGCTGAAGGGCCTAGGTCGTTGGGACTCCGAGTAGCTAACCTGATCATTGCCCCACGATCTTCTCTCGGCGCGATGAGGAGGCGGCTGGGGAGGGGATATAGGCGACACTATATCTTGTGGCTCGTAGCTGTTGGATGCCGTACCAGCTGGTATGTACGCTCTGAAGTTGCCATCGCCATTACTCCTTTCTGATGATTGTCCTTGACTCTTGCGTCTCTCCATACGAAGTCGCTCAAAGGCAGAATCCGGATGGGCTCCGGGTCGGGATGCGGACGGCGGACGGAATGAATTTTGGTACTGTTGCTGGGAACGCGAGGGCGGATAGTACTGGTTTCGTGAATGGTATGGAGATGTTGACGAACCAAGAGGTTCGCGTTCCGCCATTTGGTCGTCGTCAAATGAATATCTCGACTGTGCCATTCTCGGATACGAGGACAAGATGCGAGTGGATGGGAGGGCGCAGGAGTGTACGTGTAGCAACAAGTTCAGACGAGATCATCAATTAGGGGTTCTGTGGTCGACTTGCAGCGTAGGTCATGAGCGCTCGGGTCCAAACGGCCGCAGATGCAGATGAGGGGAAAGAAGAATGTCGATTCCCGCGGCGACTGGAACTAGATATGTCTTGGAAATCCAAGCAAACAAAAGACGATGTTCAACTGTTGTGTACATTGAATAACTTAGCATGAGGACAGACCAAATGAGCAACAGCCGCAAGGAATCGGACAGGAGGCAGCATACCAGAGACAAAAACAGAAGGGTATTACAAGCGAGGTGTTCCCGGTGTTGTAGTGTCGCAGACTCGTGGGACCGTCCACACCGGATGCCAGGCGACAAAACAAACAATGACGCTTTGTCTCGGAACGCCGATAAAAGTGGAAGTGAGTGTAGTGTAGTATTGGGGCATCCGTGGACAACCCCCGCAATAAACGGCTGGTGCCTGGTAGTTTTAGAATCGCTCCAAGAGAAGGCTCTTCGAAGTAAATGCTCGAAGATATCAAAATCGAAAGGCTATGCGGTCCTGAGCGGACGTGTGTCGGCAAAGGATGAGGTTGTCGTCAAGTGTGTGACGCGAGGTGATTTTTCTCGGTTCCCTAACAGTGGCCGGCCAAGGCAGAGCCTGCCCGACACTCATTCGGCTGAATCCTACCTAGAATGTGTTTTTGCGGCGGTTGGCGTCCCGTCGCATTGCCATCGCATTGGACCAAAAAGGGCTGGCACACCCGAGACCAAGTGCAGCTGGAGGGTGGGATGGTGGACGGGATCAGTGGACTGTCGTCCTGCACCGGGATGTGATGCCCCTGGCTGGACCTGATGGCTGGATGGCTGCACTGGGGCTGGAGTGTGGATGCGCGGAGGGAAGCGGGTGGTGGTTGGTGGTTACCTGGTGGAGCCTGTCACCCCGCCCCAGTAGTTCCAGCGGTTCCCAGCGACCGGGATTCAGCCAGCGCTGACGGCGGGGACTTGCGTGGAGGGCGGGGGAGAGGCGTGTCTCAATATGCTTTTACACTAGAGGTACTTCTAGCATGGTGGTCCTGAGATGTTAGGGGTCCATGGAACATGGGTAGAGGAATGCGTTTCAATCGTAAACATTTACACCCGCAAGATACAAATGATATTGCTAACCTTCAACACAGGTTGAAATTCACTGAGGGAAAAATAAAAGATAAAAAAAAAGAGAGAGAGAGGGACAGAGAGAGAGCAGGAAAGAAGCCCCTTGAGCCCCTTTCTGGTTTGTTTCGAGGCTAATTTTCTTCTTTCTTCTCTTAGGGGGGCCGGTAGTCACTGCATAGTAGGTCCAGAGAACTGCCCCTGATTAGAGCGTCTCATGCACAGTGCTCAATATCTCTTTCCATTTCCACACTCATCACTAGGGACGGGCAGTAGTGTGTGCAAAGATGCCTACATGCACAGATTTTGATCCAATATCTCACCCAAAAAGACCCATTTTGTGAATGCTGAGCTGCGAAAACGACGGAGTATTCCAACCAGACTCTTGAGACTCGCGACCTTGGAGGTGCACGGACATTGTCTGGACCTGGATACCGAGTCCCTTTCTTACACAGTATGTACTTAGTAATACATCTGCTTCCAGATAATGCACCTTTTCCCTGGTAATGCATCTTTTTTTGCCTTGGTAATGTCTTTTCTCCTTGGTAATGCACATGTTGGTGAGCATCTTTCTTTACCTTGGTGACGGATGCACAGACCTTCTTCTTGGTAATGCATTTTTTTTTTCTTTGACAAGGCCATAATTTGTCCACAGCCATTGCAAATCACCATCCCACAATCGGACAACAGTCCGTCACGTACTTGTCTCCAACAAAAAAGATGTAAAGAACAAAACTTTGCATTAGGACTATGCCGCCAAAGTTCACATTTTTAACTTCAACACTCTGGTAACAGGCAATCAGCCCACACAAGGTGTTCAGTGGGCTGTCTCGCTGCAACCGAAAGACACGCCCCCCTTCCAAGGAAGGAAGGTGGAGGGAAAATCAGAGAAAATCCTTCTCGTTCGGCGCCCAAAGACCGTAAAGCCTCGACATCAAGGGTTTCAGAGAGAAATGTCAGAAACAACTTTGCCTTGGGAGTCAGGCAGCTCACTCGTGATTGCATATACTGCGTATATGGGTCCCCGAGACCGACGTAGGCATTGAATTGACCAAAGGTGCCATTGTGATAAGCATTGACCAGTGGAAGTGTCAAGAGTTCCTTACGACGTCCAATAGGGCGGCATTGTCCTCAAACAGTGGGGGGGCACAGTCAAAACCTGGAAGTGGCTACAATGCACCAGCAACTACGAATTGGGGGTGTCTTTTGTGGTTACGCTCGGGAGGCTGAGGTTCAGTTGGTCGTAGAGGAAGATCAGCGCAATCACCACTCGGTGGTTGGCTGAAGCTAGAGGTACTCAGACTAGCACAAGCTAAAAATATTACCTTGCGGACGAACACAGAACGCGACGCCAGCCATCCTCTTTGTTAATGGTATGTACAGAGGTTGGGGGCGGCGGATAAATGCAACCGGATGGAAAGCTTCGAATGCCGGACAGCGGGGTGTATTGAGAACATATGATACCTTACCTATCTATGTACATACCTAAGGTAGGTACAGACAGGTAAGGTGGAAGGATCCGACATGACTACCTCTACCTTTAAGATATTTCCCCTGCCGGTGGTATTGCTTGATGATGGATGAGGTCGGGCCCCTGGAGGGCTTCTGACCGTCCGACGCCCGGCCCTCTGCAAAAAAGTGCCCCGCCATTACATCATGGCAGGTGGCCGCTGCAAAGAAGGAGCAGGAAAGGAAACCGCATGGATTGAAGCCTTCTCGCGGTCCACAACCCGCGCAGCACTGGTCCAGAACTGACGATCAACACCTTATACAACAGAATTCAAATAAAGCCAACTTGTCGATGGAATGCCGCCCAACGTTCAACGGCGCAGCCCGAGCGCGAACTTGGATGAACGCCCAGCAGGGCATGTGCACCCACATTTGCAAGACAGCGGCTGAGGTGGAATGCAGGAACCCCACAGTGCATCGCATGTGCGAACCGCCTCCGTCCCGTGCTCCTTCCCTAGCGCTGGACCTCCCGTAGAACGGGCTATTGCACCCCACCGATCCAAGACCGTTATTTCGACTGCATGCGGCGACACCTCAACAACATCACCATCAACACCAACCTACCATGACTTGCAGCATCTTGGATATATGCTTGGACCATACCTAGCGACAGGAGTTACATTTCCTTACTATATAACTGCTCCCGAATCTGTGCATTATGTCAGCAGTTTTGACCGTCAAAAGTCAAATGTCCCACCTTGACAGCGGTTGCATACCTGTCGTAGCAACTGATAGTCCGAATACGAGACGATGACAGCAAGTATTAAAGAGATGTAAGAGGCCGCTGCTTTTATGTCAGCATAGTCATGACGCAAGTAGTTGAAGTACATGTATATACTGATCCGGGTAAATTGGGGAAACCGGAGGCACGTCGTAGCAACCGGATATCGGCTGACAGCGTGGCTCTACCGGGCATGGCTCGATGAGATGCTCTTCAACACCTACCAACCGTGCCAAGACATGGCGATGTCTCCTGTCTTCGCCGATTTGACTTTCCGTACCAGCGAGTCGAGATTCCATGTATCACGAAGTCCAGCTGTTGTACGGAGTAGGAGGATACAAGACTGGGGCATTCATCTAGACCGCTCCAGACAACCATACGACTCGGATGATGTCAACGACCGTAAGGTTGACATCATGACTACAGCTATCCTTTACACCACAACGGGCTACATCAACGTCTAGAACCTATTTGAGCTCACGTGGGCCTCTTTGTGCTCGTCCACCAAAAAATAACGTCAACAACAATAAAAATAAATCATTCAGCACCTGTAAACCCACCACAACCCAACCTCACCACCCAAATCCACAAGTACCAAGTCAAAAAGAAATCGTTCACCATGTCTGCCAACCCCGATTCCGTTACCAACCAGGGCCAGTTCCACGCCAAGGTCCCTCCTTCTAAGCCCATGACCAACTCTGGCGTAAGTATCAGTCCAAACACACTCTTTCTTCCGGTTTCAGGATGCCTGACCCACGCCACCCATCAGCACCAACCCGGCCACCATGTAGGCAACGAACGCGCGCCCGAGTTCCACGCAAAGACTTTCCCACCCGGCACCGCGCCGGAGGAGCACACTTATCTTCCGAACCCAATTCACGAGATCCCCGGCCAGGCTCTCAATCCGGACGTCGACCCGTCTTCACGCACTGATCCGCTCGACGCCTACCGTGGTCCCACCACCCAGGACCTCTATAACCGGGCCACATGGAGCCGGCCGATGCAGGGCCAGACGAGTAGGGAGCTGCACGGCATGCATCCCGGTAAGCGCAAGAAGGAGCACTCCGGGCTCGAGGGTGTAGGCGCCACCGACCCGCATGCCCCGACCGTCGAGCACAAGGTCCGCGAGATTGTCGCCGATAAGCCTCCGCCTATCGAGAGGGGCATCAGACATGTAATTGGTCCTGCGCCGGAGGGCGCGGAGTACGACCTGCCGGAGCCGGCGGACACGGTTGCTAAGGAGAACAAACCTAAGAGGCATCACTGAAGAGGTTGCATGCTGATGCAAGGAAGTTGTGAGGTTGTACGATATGGTGTTGGAGGAGTGTCAGGATCTGTACCCTGTATTAACTAACATGTTATGAACATGAACTGGCTTATTCACTGATTGAAAAAGAAAAAAAGTGAGATGTGATCGTCTTGGTGTTTCGTCTCTTCGACTACACGATATGGCACGCTGTATGTCAGCTTTGATAAACCACTCAGACAGAATTCCGGATCATGACCTTGTGGTGTGTGTATACATACTGTGGCAGACCCAATCCCATCCCATCCAGCAGCAGATGTGACCAAGAACCCAAGTCATGGACCTGCATACTATCTATCCTCTAGTAGTTCTCGACTAGAGACCGTCCCTGTTCTCACATTCGGAGTCCTGACTGGATTTCAGTTTCCAAAGACTCCCGTATTGATCCAACCAAATCACTCTGATAGTAGCCAACCAAAACGAATCGCCAACAGGTAATATCGAGTTCCCATCCCCATTCATGATTGTGGTGCTTCCCCACGTGGTGGTAGACACGTACGTATGCTCAATCCGACTGACCAACAGTCGCATCCTGCCTGATCATACGTGGAGGTCGAAAAGTACCCCTAGGAGCAGTAGCCGTGACACTCTCCAGTCCCCCTTCTCCGCTCGCACCACGCCTGCCGTGTTCTGTATGGCCGACTGGTCTTATTTCCTTGCACCTCCTGCAGAAGGCGGGCTCGGGCTCTTCTAATGTTGAGTGGGGCATGTCTTCTTCTTCTTCTTCCGTTTTCGTCGTCGTCGTTTTGCTTCTCTGTTCATAGCACTGGCTCGTGGTGGTATCCGTACTCCGTCACTTGGTGAGGTGAGGTGAGGTGCGTTGTCCAAGGTGCGCTTCGAACTCAATACTGCGGTGGTTCTCTTTGGATTCGACCAAGAGGGAAGTTCTGAAAAGTGCCCGTTCGACAACTGTTGCGTGTCGACGGTTGAGAATGAAGTTCCGAATGTGGATCTCCACGATTGTTCGAGAGACGTTTAGTCTAGCTGCCCTCGTTGTGAGATGGGGTGAGGAGGTGATAGACAATCATACGTGAAGACCGGGACTTGAGTATTCCAGTGTATGCTGAGTGATCATCTCGTCATCATGAAGTTTGTTGGTCCGTAGCCGCCCGAAACTGATCTCAAGGTCGATCGGGATAGCTGCAGTGTTGCATCAACAAAGCTGCTGTATCAACGCGCCGTGGCTGATGAGAAACACGGTCATAACGAAGTGTTGAGCTTGTATAGAAAGCTGGCGAAGAATAAGCGCAGGAATGCAGCGGAAGAATGCTTTAGCGCGTTGGTTTGAACGATCCTGAAGTGGATGATCAACCAGCTCCTTTGTCCGACAACACCAATTGTGAGATACTTCGAGGGGAAAGTTGTTCACACAAAGAAGGCGAACTGGAATCGGAAGGAAATCGATGTGCCAGGGCGAGAGCAGCAAAAGAGAGGGTAAAAAAACCCAATAAAAAGGAAAAAAATGAAATAG